GACCGATCACGAGCAACTCGAGGAGATTGAAGTGTTTCTGAAGTTTCGTGCTTATTGATCTTTCATTTACTAGTGTTGATTCGTTCCCCGAGCTCGGCTTCCACCAACCTGTCCTCAGAGTAGATAGCACTACAGCTTGTAATGTCATTTTTCATCCTGATAACAGATTTTGCCGAACAATAATTTCAATTTGAAACGGTCTAATAGCCTTTTAAAACGAATCAAAATTTGGTTCCGGACTTTTTTCTAAAAAATGAAGTGAATTTACAAATCACGTTTTTGAGTTCATTTTCTCAAGCTGTATTTTTTTAAAAATAAACTTAAAACACTATTCTTGAAAATAGTTTAAAATATTCTTAAAGGACTATTTATGTTATAAAATAATTGTAAAATGTTATTTCCTTTTTTCTAATTTGAAATATTCACTTTCGCGCGTCAACTTTCAAATTTGACACAACATGCAGGAAAGCTGGCGGGCAGCAGAGCTACCACCGCCGCTCGAGACGGAGGCGCTTGTACAGCAGAACCTGATCGCGCGCTCGGAGCTGGAGGCGTGGGTAGAAGCGCAGAAGACGCGCATCCTGGAGGAGAAGCGTGCCGACCAGCTGCAGTCGCAGGAGCATGCTCGCGCCTCGGACGAGGCTCAACGAAAGCGCGAGATGCTGCAGACCGAGCACCAGAAGATCTCGGCAGGTGCGCGTGTCCTCAATGTAGACGACCACTTCACAGATTAATTATACCGGTACTTATTGTTGACGGCAACATTTGTTCGTCTGCGCAGACACTCACGCCAAGGAGAGGGAGCTGAACGCGAGCCAAGTGGAGATCGAGGTGTTGGAGGCTGAGAAGAGTCGACGCGAGCCTGTGGTCAAGCAATTATTCGAGAGGACAGTAGAAGAGGACGCAAAGCTCAAACAGCTTCTGGAGGACTCGCAGAGGCAGCGCACGACCCAGGAGCAGCAGCTGCAGGAGCTCAAGCAAGGTCTCGCTATGTACCAGAGACTTGGACTATTCTTCGAGCACGCAGAGGGTGAGTTGGTGAATGGAACAGTTAAAATAAATGACCGGAAAATAACTGGATATTTATTTGCTGTGCAGCGGATCGCATTGTGGTGCGATTCACGCAGATCGACGCTCAGAATCCGAGTCGTGAGTTCTCATTCCGGATCACGATCGACCCCATCACCGATCGATATATTGGTGAGCTTAAAGGTGGTGGCTATTTTGCTGTTATTGAAAGATTTACTGACTTTTGTCGTACTGCAGTGGACGCCTGTAGCGAAAACGTGGCTTCGCTGAACCAACTCGTGACGGATCTTAACGAGAACGGGGACTTGGCGCTTTTCATTCGCTCCATGCGCCGTCAGTTTAAGCAACTTGTGTAGAATTCACTTTATATACGACGGCGTTTTGTATTTTGTTGTGGTCTATCCATCGAGTATTGCGGTCTGGGTGATGTCTGGAGTGGCCTTGGCACGAATTGTTGAGGCCTTGATGGCAATTGGGGTCCAATAAATGCAGACGTATCTTTAGCACCACCAGGAGGAGGAAGTGGAGGCGGCAGTGGTGGAGTCCACGTTGTCGATCTCTTCTCAGCACGATAAACATTAGGTCGAGCACGACGCTGCAACAGTTGCCGTCTTTGGGCCAATTTATCACCCGTGTCTTCTCGAGACTCGAACTGCGGCGCGTAAGACATCTGCAGTTTATTGCCGTAAAATGGCTTCTGCACACCTCGTGCCTTGGCATGACGTGCGTTGTTCACGGTCTCGTATTGCACCCAGACCGTGTCGGTAAATTCACTGTCGTCGTTAGATGCATCCTCGAACTGCAGCGCCGCCTCTCGGTCGTCCGCGTGATCCAATAATCGATACTCGCAGACCTTCCCGTACAAACTGAGTCGCTTGAGCAGGTCCTCGATCACACCAAGAGCCGGCACGTTACGCACCACCACATAGCGAGATTCATTTGCCACCGTGAAGACGCGTACGCTGCGACCAGCCATCGAAACTCTCAGCCAATCGTCGGACAATGATACAGTCTGACACCTTTACCACTTCAAGTGACGAGATAAAAAAAATAAATAAAAAAATAAAAAGAATCGACTTATATAAAACTGAGCATGGCATAATAACTTAACGAGCGCCTTCCATTCGTTACTCGTTTGCGCCCTTCTTCTTCTTGCTCTTCTTAGACCTACATCTCGCAGCTAACAAACCCCGCCGCCATGCACCACGCAGCATCCACACACACGTCACCAACGTCCATATTCGACAGCCAAGCCGTCACCTTCCGTCCGTCAGCCCCAGTCTGTCTGCACAAGCACTTCGCTCATTAATTCCGCTCTCAAGTGTCAAACGGGTTCCAGCTCTGCTCAGTTGACGATCGCGATGGGGCCGTGTCGCTATTACGCACAACGTGTTGATTGGATTCAACAGAATAGCGGACAGCACCCGAGGCGCTGACCGTGATCTGGGACGCGCTCAACGGCGCCACGTCGGCGTAGTCATTGTCGCTGTCGTCGTCCTCTCCACTGCCGCGTGTAGGATGCTGGCTGCTCTGGGATCCACCTCTCTCGTCGTCGTCCTTTCCGACGCGGAGATCCTGCATGGACCGTCGAATGGCTTCCAAGAGCATCAGCTCTTCTAGACGAGCAGCGTCCGCTGGAGTCGCCAGGATGTGCGACGCGGCGTCATTGAGCGCTGCGACACTATTCGGGTGTGGACTGTTGGTCACGGGCTTGTCACTGATGCTGAGCTGCGAGCGCAGCGAGTCACGGATACGGTGGCGGTCCTCCACCGAGGCGTATTGTACGCTCTGTGTGCTCGAGGTTGCAGGCTCCGAGTCTGCGCGCTTGGGGATGCCGATGGCGCTGCTTCGACGCGGTGACCTCAGGTTCTGTAACGTGATATAAACTGGTGAATAAATGCCATAACGCCATCTTGGTGATCACATTGAGTTCTGACCTTCATAGAGCGGATAGTGGCCAGCTCTGCAGGAGATGGAGGTGTATACCGGACACTGAAGTCATCATGGTTGCAAAATGGGCAGCTAGAGTAAATAACAACGCAATAGTGTCAATACATGGGTTCAAACTTGAGTGCTGAGATGTCGTCACGCACCAAATAGGCTTTTGAGGCGGACGGATCTGCAGGTAACACTCGCTGCAAATGGGTTTACTGCAACAACTCGACGTGTTTAAGTTGCCAGGATAGAACTGCATAGCGGCACAACAAGTCAGTGCACAAGCCTCAACGAGTGAGAGTTCCCCTCGCCCTCACTCACCATAAAGCAGATCGGACACTCGAGCGTGAAACCGTCCTCCTTGGTCTCCTGGCCGAGGAAGCGCGGCGCTAGTTTGCGCTCCATGATAAGCCGACGTGCTGTCTTGAGTTCCCATGGACAGCTCGGGTACAAACTGGCAAGAAGCAACAAGAAATGAGTTTTCGAACCCGAAGTTTACGATGCTGACATGGGTTACGACGTACCCCGTGGGCTGCGTGAACTTCTCAAGCTCGCGCGTGCCTGACGAGTGGCGGCGACTGATGCCGGACTTCTTGGACGTCGAGTTTCCCATCGCAAACCACGTCGCTTATTCTCCTCGCGATGGCTTGCCGAGTGAGTCCGAGGTGTGGTCTCAGTTCTCCTCTTTGGCTTGCGGCTTGTTCTCTGTGCAACACATTTTCTTAGCTTACGCGCAGAACCGGGCGGCAATTGACAAGTACTGTGATTTCACAAAGTGGCAACAAAATGTGACAGATAGAATAATAAAGGTTAATGGAATAATGCCTTCACTAATGCGACAGAAATGTACCCAGATGAGAATGCAAATGTAGAGGTTATGCAATCTGGCGTTTTCTGAAGATGATTTGCGCTTTATCCGTGGAAGCCTGATTGAAGTTTACTTTATCAGCTTGTCCCAGGATAATGAAATGGGCACTTTCGACGGAAATGAGCACCTTCGATTGTTTGCGTCCCTTGTGCAGAGGATTTGACAGAGACTTGTCCAATATTGCTTGGCGCTTGCCAATCCTACCGACCTGCCTAATAGGCAGTGCCTATACATCCTTCACCTCGTGCTGCTAGCTCAATTCTGGTTTGGTTGACATTTGCGTTTTCAAAGAGCACATGGGCCACTATGTCACTTTCTCAAAGGAAACCAACCAAACAGAACTGGAAAAATAAAATCGAAAATATGTTTTTCTAGTGAAATGCTCGCTCGGTGTGCTGAAATTGTTGACTGTCTTCCAGATTGCTATTTTGCAACTCATTTGTGTTTCTTACCTATCAATAGTTTCATGAAAGTTTGCGAGCGAAAGTAACTCCACCTTCTGGAATTGGCTATGAGCTCTCTCAAGTGCAGGTGAAACGAACTTTGATACATCATCAAGCTACCAAGTCCGGGCCAAATCTTGGCGCAATCGGCCTTCGTCCTTGAAGTGATTACATAGTGTTTGGAATTGCGCTATGATTCATTTCCAAAATTGCCCAATTTTGAGCTTTGGGCACTTTTTAGAATTTAGGTTTCTGTATCCTTTACTTGGATCGGTACAACGATCCGATGGCGGCACAGGATGAAGTCTTCAACACCTCCACGATCGTACGCGTCTGCAGCACGCCTATGTAGTACTACCGCCTCTAATTCTTGATGCTGCTGCCAATTGCAGACCGAATCCACAGGTGAGACCGATCACGAGCAACTCGAGGAGATTGAAGTGATTTTCGGGAATTTCAAGTACATCGATAGCGGAGCCCTGCGGAAATGCAGAAACTTGCAGAAATTCACGAGTAAGCTGATTGTATTGCAACTCCAATCAATTGTTTTATATTTGTTGCTTACGAAATTCACTTGTTGGTCGCAGTGGTGAACTGCAGCCTCATGGAGATTTCAAGTTTTGAACCTGTCAGTGCGTCGCTTGTGCACTTGTGTCTGAGCAACCAGAACATCTCCGAGATAAGTGGATTGTCGTCGCTGCACGAGCTACGTCACTTATATCTACAGCAGAATAATATTAGTCGAATCGAGGGACTCGAACGGTACGGTGGTGATGGTCTACAACACTATATGAGCTTGCGGAGTAACGTATTTGATGATTAGCTGCCGGAAGCTGAAGACCTTGTGGCTGTATGATAATCGCCTCACAACGGTCGACAACCTGGAATTCTGCACGGATCTACGAGAGCTTTGGTTGCAGGTGCGAAGGAACGCAGCATCATTGACAAATAAAAAACTTACGGTTTTTTCTAGAACAACAGGATTCAAACGCTGAAAGCCTCGAGCGGTGGGATCTCCGACCTCGTCAATCTTCAGAGAATAAACCTGGCGAACAATCGTATCCGCGATGTGGATGAGTTTGAACATCTTCGTAAACTCATCGTGTTGGCCCAGTTATCATTCACAGACGAGCATTTTGGGTCGAACCCGATCGTTCATCATCCAGAGTATCGTTCCATTGCAATTACGATTCTTAAACAGGTAAGTTTGGTGTGCTACATTTGCTACATTATGCACTCAGCTTCATTTTTTGCTGCTATAATAGTTGCGTCAGTTGGATGGAACTCTTGTTGGAAGTGATGAGCGCTCAACTGCGGAGGATCAATTTTTCACGCAGGTACCAGTGCAACCAACTACTTATTTATTGTGCTGAGCACCTAGCTAAAATATTATTTGTTATTTTGTGAATGATATGACCAGTCAATGGAATTTAACGACCAACTAGCGGAGTTGACTCTGGCCTACCAGCAGGAATTGCGTTCTATATCTACAAGAAAAGAGCGAGGCAGATCAAACGCGCAGATGCTGCAACAAGAGCTTATGGAGGCCTTGAACGATGTTGAAGCTTGTGTCACCGCTGGCCAGGCACAGATTGAGCAAGAAAAAGAGCGACAGCTTCAATTGCGCGAACAGAACTCTCAATTGCTGCGAGAAAATGTTGCAAAGCTTCAACAAGACTTCTGTGCTGCTATTAAGAGCCAATACGACCTCGAAGACAAAGCATTACTCGAAGAAGAGCGCGGCTACGAGATCATGGAGCTGGAAGCCATGGCTGAACAACAACTATCGCTGACAATAGCTGCGCTACAGAACGCGTTTCCTAACAAGATTGCGTTCCAGCAAATACTCGAGCACATGCCGGACTTTCGATTTATCGCTGAGAGTTTCCGACGACCAACAAACCAGTCTGTGTACGGCACCAATGATCAGGACGAGCGTGAAGTGCGTATTCTTCAAATGTATCGCTTCTTTCACGACGATTTGGCTGCAGCGTTTGAGGCAAATACGAGACGAATAGAGGAAGAACAAGCGAGTGGCACTGCACAAGGCAGTGAGTTGTATCTGTACATGGTTGTGAATGACGATAAGATGACTTCTCTCCTTCAAACTGGCCTGAAATCGACGAGCGATGAAGTAAATCACGCATTTAACGACTGGGTTTTTCTCTTCTCGAATCCTCTGGCGGCTCTACAATTTTATAAAGGCACAACTGGCAAATTGGAGCCTCTGAGTGACAGCGAGACAGACGATTCATTCAGACAGACACTGTCTGAAGAGGATTCTGTTTTGGTGGAGAGCTTCAATCTGTTGCTGTGTCAAGTACGAATGCAACACACTATTGAGTTGTTCCATCCTCAAAACAAGTCTTCGTCCTCGCTTGAAGATCTCCACAGCGTTGCAAGTCCGAGAGGATCAATTCTGCCACCACCACCTACGGCGTTCTTACAATTAGAGCTTGGTGAACAACAGTCATGGTCTGCGTCATCCTCTGAAGGGCACGTGTATATGGCCCGTCGAGCTCATGTTCACTCTCAAATTTTGCCACAATTTGTGCTTTTGTGCTCGAAACGGGGTGAATTTTCTTCTGGTAGCCACCGATACGTCCAAGATCAAACCCCGAGCAGTGAGTTGCTCCTTGCTCAGTTCCAGCAACAACTACGGGCTGAAGTGGATGCCTATCACACGCGTCTGTACCATGAAATGGACCCTGCAACGGTGCGTGTCCGAGCGCAGCTCCAGCACGAGAGCGAGCTACTACGACAACGACTCAAGGACAACGAAGACCGCATAAGTCAGGAAAAACTAGAACAGGAGCGGATACTGCGGTCACTTCGGAGTGGCGGCAATGAGAAGAAAGAGCGCAGGCGAAAGTAAATTACCAATTGCAACTTTACATTACCCATCGCGATCTGATAATGTCCCAAACAAACATGCTACAGTACCATATTCGTTGTCGGGATAGAATGCACTTTACCGTAATTACAGCAAAACTATACAAAACCTGTTACACATTATATACTGTACAAATAGTTGGATCAAATCTTCTTAACTAACCACTCTTTCTACATAATCCGATAAACCTTTGAAATCCACTTCTTATCTGCTTCTCCCGTCCGCTCGGTTTATTCATTCCTCATCTCTTCCCTGGATGATCCGGCCCGTGGACATGATGGGCAATGGGGGCTCCGACGCTCTTCCTCGTGCGCCAAGCGGCAGCGCGCTGAGTGAGCGCTCTCCGCTGCTACGTGCAATGGGTCAGAACGACTCGACATCCTTTGAAGGCTCGTACATGTCCATGCCGGCGCCGTCGAGCGACAATGGGCGTCTGTCGGACACCGGCCAGTTCCAGCCGCTGATCTTCGCGGAGAAGGCATTGGCTGCTCTTCTAAACGGGGTGTTACTGTACGCTTTAGGCTGCGTCGTGGGGGTGGCGCTAGTCTCGCTCAACTTCGAAGGCGTCTTAGGCGCACGTGTCAACTGGTGGCTGATCTTCCTGCCCTTCTGGTTGGCCAATGTAGCCATGCTGTATGCACATATAGCGTCCATCCGCCACGCCAAGACACTGCGACGTTGGGCCGACGTCGAATCCATGAGCAACGAGCCGCTGCTGCCACTTCTCCGCCGTATTGTGCTGGTCTACGCGATCAGTGTACCTCTCACGGTGCTGCTGCTCTGGAGCGAGTTGGCCTTCTGTGCCAGTCTGCAGCATACAGCAGCCACCAGTCTCTACATCTGCTACGCTCCACTCATGGTCATCCAAGTGGCTTTTGTAGTGCGATATCTGCTCTGCAGATCCGACAGCACGTTGCCGGTATGTCACCTAAAAAAAGTATCTTTATTATTTTTTTTTCCCGGTTTTTTGCCATTTTTTTTATTTTGTTAAGGGAATATGCTGGGTGCTCATGTTCGTGTTCACATTGCTACTGGCCTATCAGACTGACACTCAACGAAGATTCGGGTCGCTTGAGATGATGCAGCCTCCAGTATCGTGGTGGATCGTGTTCGCTCCATTATTCGTCTTTGAGCTGCTTATGACGGGGTCTCTGCTGCTGGTTCTGTACAATGAATTTGCCGGTATTTACCGGTTAACTCGATGGCAACTGGCAGCTAGTGTACTGTACTCGTTGGCTCTTGTAGCCGGGGTAAGTGGCGAGCTTATGTTGCTGGAGCAAGTGGACTACCACTGGGGGACATTCACTTTCCCTTCCGGAATGATGTTCTTCGGTCTGGTGTGTGCGTGTGTGGCCATGTATATTGTGGGTCGCCACCACGTAGAAGAGCTCATGGCTTCCAAGGGTGGTGCAGTGCCTGTACCGCTTACAAGAACAGCAGACGGGTGGATCACCAGTCATGCCGTAGTAGAGCAATGGGTTCTCTTCGGAGATATCTACCTCACCCCACAAGGACTTCAGCTACGCAACCAGAAGACAAGAAGCAACTCTGGAGTCGAGTCGGAGGCAGCAGGCAGTCGCATCTTGCGCCAAATGAAGGGCCTGTTAACCCGAGTCGCCTCGGAGGAGAACATTGGCGACAACGATCCAGAACGCCGTATCCGTAATGTACTGCGACGAAAGACGTCAGGCAGCTACAGTGACATCACGCTGGAGGTCGTCGATACCCCGAGAACTCCGAATGATGGCAAACGTTAAAAAAAAAAAAGTTTAAAATAATAGTGGAGTGAGCTTTTTTGTGTTGAACGATGTAACGGATTGACTGACAACTCTCTCCACTGGCAATGAGGAAGACGCGGACGATGCCTGAGAACCACTCGACTGCTAATGGTAATGACTCTAATAGACGTCAAATTCACAAGCTGGAAGACGATCCAAAGCTGCAGACTCTCACGCCTCGATCGCTGGCAAAGAGCATGGCGGAACTTGAAACATTGAGATCCAGAGTGCAAGATCTCGAGCAACAACTTGCAAAGCATCAAATTGAGGCTTTTACACCGAGTAAAACGAAGTTACCTCCATTGACAGACGCCCATGCTGAATCCGTGGTAGGAATATTGTGTTTAATACTAACAAAGCGGACTAATTGACTTGCGTTGATGCTAAAGTTTCCTAGTGGAGGACTACCTGCGTCGTCAACAAATGGTGTCAAGTCTACTAGTGAACTGAAAACGATTCAAACTATCGCTGGTGTCGCGTTTTTAAATGATCGAGCAACCACAGCACCCGCAACAACATCACGGAATGTGACGGTAGCTCCGGCTGGGAAATGTGTTGACATAACTACCGATGAGCCTGTTGTAAAAACCTTAGCTTTCATTCCCAGCACTCTTGCAATCGATGTCGATGCCACTTTGGATCAAGTAGAATTCTCGAAAACCGATAGTTGCGGCACTAGATCCCCACATTTCGAGGAAACCAAGATCATAATCGGCCAAGAAGGTGAAACCGCTACGTTTGCGATATCCCAGAGAAATCGGTTGTACCAGATTCTCAGGCGCTTGAGTACTGTGGCTACGATTCCTGAAGATGAGGTACGTTATCGTAGACTAGATATGAAGAGTTTAAACCGCTAATGCGAGACTGTGCTACGTGCAGCTCGTGTTACTCAAGAAGCTTGTGGATGCTGAGATTGGAGATGTCATTAAATTTCTTCTCGATGTTGAATCAGAGCAGTCTGTCACTATTATTCGCGACAAGCTAGCAGTCCTTGTAAAGGATGGATCGCCTTTCAAGCACCGCAGCCTGGTTCGACCAACGCCGCCACATTCTCACCCTCTTTGGAGTATTCAGTACCCGCTTCTCAAGGTCGCGCAGAACCTAGAACAACTTCGAGGCACCGATTCTTTCTCTCCTGACTCTCCATCCCAGAAAACCGACGTGATAGTTTTGGTTTCTAGCGGGGCTTACAACCCCATTCACATGCTGCACATTCGTGCTTTTTACGTTGCACGGCAGTACGTCGAGGCCAACTACAAATTCCCAGTCGTTGGAGCTTTCATCTCGCCATCTCACGATACGTTTGTACGTGTCAAGAATCGCCGTAACACGCGTGAAATGATCACTAAACGACATCGACTGGCGTTGATAGAGACTGCAGTGGTATCGTCATCGTGGATCGAAGTGGACAAATGGGAGATCACTCGACGAAGAGTACTCGACTATTTGAGTACACTAACTCATATAAGAGAGATGTGCGAGTCACATTTCCCTCACTATCGCTTTCACGTCATGTACGTCTGCGGATGCAACACGGTGGTTAAACTGAGTCACTCTGCTCTGCGCGATGATGGATTTGGCTGCATTACTGTGTGCAGACCTGCACAAACGGATATGGTAATTAAACAGTTGGGGAAAACACAGGCGAAAATGACGACAATAGTTGAGGATACCGGTGTGTTACCGTGTGAATTGGAAAGCGCCACTAGTTTCCGTGTACGCCATGCACTCATGGATGTCAACTCGAATGCCAACAAGATCGAGATGATGGTAGGGAAACCGGTATTTCAGTATATGTTGAAACACGAGATTGGGGACAAGATCGCTGGCAAAGTGAGCTGGAGCGATGAAGACAAACAATGGCGGCAACAAGACCTCACTTATGTAGAATATACCGAGAGTTAGCGCGTAAAACTGAAAAATATGAAAACGGAGGGTACATAGCAATGCCAACAACATTTACTTACGTGAAAACGGGGTGGATTTCCTCAGAAATCTACTAGCTTTGCCTTCACGTAGCTCTCATCAACCGCTTTACTCAGTCTCTGCATCGTCCGATTCTTCATCGATCTCACGTTCGCCATTTTCCACCGAGTCATCATCACTGTCAGCCGTAGAGTCATCAGAATACTCGTCACTGGACTCATCACTTGATTCGTCACTGGAGTCTTCGTCACTGGAGTCTTCATCACCAGGTTCAGTGTCCTCTTCAGTCTCATTTTCAACAGTAGTTGATTCCGTCGTCTGATAACCAGGTGAAGACTCTTGGACGCTCTTTTCTTCACTTTCGGTCTCGTTTGGTTCCTCCTCCGCTTCAGCTACATTCGAATACTCCGTTGTGGTAGTTGCTTCTGGTGTAGGAGCACTCGTTGGTGCTTCAGTGCTCTGCTCTGCGTTCTCCTCTTCATTCTCAGGAACCGTCGTCTCAGCACCAGTTGACGATGCTGTCGTGCTCTTGTCCTCAACCTGCTCAGTCTCGTCAGGTTCCTTGTCCGCGTCAGCAACACTCGACGACTCGGTCGTTGTTGTGGATTCATCAGTGGTGGTCGGGGCTTCGGTTTGCTGATTTTCTTGTGAGACAGCTTCGTCAGACTCCGTCGTCTCATAACCAGTTGAAGATGTTTGCACACTCTTGTCTTCACCCTCGTCCGACTCCTCCGCTTCAGCGGCACTCGACGATTCCGTTGTTTGTGTAGCTTCGGGGGTTGGGGAACTCGTCGGAGCTTGAGTGCTTTGATCTTCTTCTTCAAACTCCTCTTCACCTTCACCCACATCGATCGACGACTCTGCAGACGAGTCCACCATCGTCTCGTAACCAGGTGCAGATGTCTCTCCACTCTTGTCTTCAGTCTCATTTTCCTCGTCCACTTCAGCTACGCTTGACCCCTCAGTCGTTGTATAAACTGCTTCAGGGGCTGGAGAACTCACCGGAGCTTCAGTTTGCTGATCTTCTTGCACAGATTCTTCTTCAGACGAGGCCACATCAACCGATGATTCACTAGATGGAAAGTTTGACTCCGTGGTCGGGTTGGTCTCTTCCTTCTCTTCGTTAAATTCTTCTTCCTCTTCAGCATCATACGACTCTTTTGGGTAGGCTGGTGGGCTGGTCGTTGAGTCATCAACGTTCTCGTCTTCCTTCTCATAATCTTCTTCTTCGGACACATACTCAGACGTATCAGTCGTTTGACTTTTCTTGTTCTCTTCCTCCTCCTTTTCATCCAATTCTTCTTCTGCTTCATTTACGGAATCCAAATCGTCCGATTCTTCATTACCAGTGTAATTTTGCTCTTCGCTAGTCGTCGTATCCACCAGCGATCTCCGAAGATAGACCTTATTCTCGGTAGTCGCGACTTGACGCGCGACTTCGACCTCGCTCGAACTCGTTGGCAGCGACGCCAGCAGCGCAGCAGCAGCTAACACGACGTAGTAAATCTTCATGCTCACCGACGGTCACGTGCGACTCCCTGCCAGATGCAGAATGAGCGTCGGAGTCAGCGCCGAACGCATGCACCCATCAGTAATACTTTGACTGTCGCTTGCGACTATCCAAACTCAGTATATTTTCATGGAAACCTCCTATTCTGCCTTTTGAATAGAAAACCTTTTCTTGGAAAACATCAAAAACAAAAATATCCCAACATGACCCTTTCATTAGTCTACTGTTTTAAATTATCTTTTTGAATGCGTAGCTGCTCCAAATTTCAAAGATAGCCCTAAAGTTTACAATACGCACTTCGACGTGCTGAAAGCCTTTTCGACGGTTCAGTTTTGATTTCAGCTAAACAAACGGAGATAGACGAGTTGTACATTTGTTTTTTGATGAGTCACCTGCGGTCGAACACGCGCAGTCACACCGCAAACGAAGCAAATATCATACATACTGCTCTATGCTCGATACAGAGCTAAATTGTGAAATTCGCGTTCCTGACTCATTCATTTCCTCGATGCCCCCGAGAGGTAGTTTCGATCAACGTAATGGACAGAAGCTGGTGATCGTCGTTCCTCGGCATCATCGCTGAGACGTGGATCTGACCGGAATACGTACAGGAAGTTCTTCGCGAGCACTGAAGACAGGCGCAAACCTTGTGTCACAGGTTGTGCGCCTTTCGTAGACTTTCGAGTTCTTCATGAATCGCGGGCGAGGATATTTCTGTCCGTGTTGTTCATGGCTCAGAAGATGCGGCGATGTACGAAATGAGGGTCTTGTAATGCATTTCACCCCTTGTTGGCCCCTACGTGTCGTGGAGGACAATCAACTGAGTTCCCGTCGGAGGACAGCTATAAGAAATCGATTCAGTGCTCTAAGCGCGGCTTTCGCTGTCTCATTGATAGAAGTAACTCGCTGTCCAACTCGCCACAGACAAGCCGTGTTTTTAATTTATACTTCTAAGGGAGAGTATTCGAGTGTCCGAGTAGTTCTTATAGTACTTGTCGGGTATCGTAATTCACGGTGTTATTAATACATGTAATACAATTTTCATTTTTTTTTTCCAGAAGTGTTAGTTCATGTAGAACTTTCATAATGACCACCTATGTGCATCCTTCACGCTGCAACCGTTTGACAGGTGAGTCCCAGACATCGTGGGCCACGATTTGTGGTTGTGAGCCAGTGCCTCGACGTTTTCCAAAATAGTTGCAGTTCCCGATCTTTTTCAGGAGCTTGACTGCATACTTGGCCGCTGCCACATGGTACGACTAAACTTAGATACCCATTTATACCCACTCGTTCTATGTAAAATAGTATAAACTTAGATATATGTGATTTGCATAAACCTCTGAAGCTCTGAGTATCAATCTATTGCAACCATACCGTTCCATGGCCACGCTACAATGAAATTGCGTTAACTCATATGATGCTGATCCTATTGACAATGACACTGAAAGCAAGGACCTTTCACAACGTTTTTCCAGAGAGAGTATTTCATGCTCTTTCATCGAAGGGCGTAGTCTGCACAGTGCAGAGCACTTGCCCCCAATCGCCCGCCGCAACTTCTGTACCTGGAGGTGGGACGTAAACGATCGAAACAGAAAACGGCCGAAGCTAACAGTCGAATGGCAAGTCAACCGACCGCCGGCAGATCATTCTCAGTTACAAATTCTCCAGATATTCACGATCTCTCTCTCTCTCTCACCAAGAAGCGATGCAATCATTCGATTCAATAGCCGAAACTTTTGACGTGATCCCCGTACGATCTCGACCCGTTCTCGCCCCTCGAGTGCCGGTCGTCACAGCGCTCGCTGCGGCGAGACGAGCCCCTAATCGTCGTAAGAAGCTCAAGTGGCGGACGCGGGACTGCCAGGCCTCACAGCTTTACAATTTGGAGCTGGACATCATGGACCTTCGACAGGAGATCCAACGTCTGACCGAGTACCGCCAAATACTCAATGCGCGCACTTTCAACCACCGTGATGCCTTGGATGGCTACTATGTCAAGGCGGTGCGCGAATACTACCGCGTGTTTGAGAACGGCTACCACCCCGGCGCCCAACTTGACCCTATTCAATACGTCATGCAAGTCATGGACGAGAACCTGATTATGGGTCGATTCGTCGGTCGTGGAGTGATGTTGCATCAGTGGGAACAGTACACGAAGGCTCTTTCCGGACTTGAGTTTCACTTCTTGCAATCTCAAGTTGTTTCGGCGGAGGGACGGACGATCGTGACATCCTCCGCCTCCTACAAACACGTCGTGACCCGAGACACTTTAGAGGTCATGTTCCCTGATGCACTGCGTCTATACCCACACATCACAGCCAGAATGCTAGGGCGTGTGTTCAAAGGCGTAGGCAAGTTCGACTTCACCTTCGATACGCAGACACACAGCGTCATCTCGTTCGACTTCCACTTAGACTTTCTCGAAGAATTCTCGCGCTTACTTCGGGACCCGCGCGATCTGTGCGCTATTTTCGAAGGAGCAAGGATCTCCGAGGATTGTATGATTGGCGACGTGGCCAGTTACGCGGAGTGGGCATCGCAACAAGACAGTGAAGACGTTAGCACTGTTGCTGCCGCTAATCCGGAGGCCATACCGGAGCCCACATTTGAACAAGTTTCTGAAGAAAAAGTGCCGAGTGGCTGCGAGAATGAAGAGCATCGACAGCCTTCGTTGACTAGGACGCCCAGACCCAAGTATATTTGGGAGTAAGAGAACCGAGGAGAGTACGAAAGGTAGTAGTTAGGAAAGTCTTGAATCTTGTACCCGAATTCCAGTTGTATCTCGTCCAGATCAAAATGCCTACTTCATGACAATAGTGTATTGCTGGGGTCCAGGCTGGACCATAACAGCACATAGTGATACACGGAACAGGATTCCCTGTTCCAGCAAGGTCAAAGGAGTAATTGAATTACGTAAGTAAACTACTAGTATGAGTCAGGCGCATTTACTACTAGTATTTAATGTGGAGCATGGATAGCTCAAGCGGCAAGTACGGCACCATGATTTCAGCTAGACCTGGTTGCAACTACATGCACAAACCAATGCATTCGATATCTGAGGCGTGACAATGAGTCATGAGTGTTATTGAGAACGAATTGGTTGAAATGGCAAGAATAACGCATTCTTATTGGCCGAAAAAATGAAGTGAATCTCTTATTATATCATTTGCAGTTTAATCTATTCAGCCTCGCATAACTTCACTCAGCTACTAGACTCCTCCTTATTCTGGCGCTGGAGCTCACGATCGAGTCTCTCTAAGTCATCACGATCCAGTTCTCCACTACCATCTCGGTCAAGTTTGTGGAACTGAGCAATAATACCGTCAAGGTCGTCCTGGTCGACCTTGTTAAGTTTCACGAGCATATAACAGAGGTACTCGAGCTGAGAGACCTTGCCATCGCCATCGGCGTCCATGTCCAGCAGCTCCTTCATACTGATCTTGGTTTTCATCACCGATCTCGCGCTAATCTCGTTGAGAATCGAGCCGATTCCGTGCGCCACCGTCACTACCGCCAAGGGTAGATAAAAGATGGCAAAAATCCGAGCACTTTCAGATTTTGGCGAAAGATCTCCAAATCCTATGGTCGTGATCGTGATCAGAGTGTAGTAGAAGCAATCCAAGACCGGCCAGCCTTCTATAGCACCAACAATAAGCCCAGCCATAATGGAGATAACAATGGGCACGAAGGCGTGGAAGATGGCCTTGTTGCTATCCGAGAAAATTTTACGGGCCCACTCGGGCAGACTTTTCTGGAATCGTTTCCAGCGAGTTTTTCTCTTGTCCATTTTACGGATCCTGGCTTCCTTGTCGAGAGCGGATCCAATAGCAGTCGCTGCTGCGCTCTCCACGTTGTTCAGTAGTTTCTGTGTTGCCATTTTAGTGACATGCTTTTGACGCTGAAGAAACCAAGAAGCCAACTGTCCGAGAGCCACACCAATTGTACAAATGCCGTAGAAGGAGAAGAAGATCGTGATCGCCTTACCGGCAGTCGTAACGGGCACCACGTCACCGTAGCCTACTGTCGTAACGATAACCATCGCGTAGTATACGCAGTCCACAATGGGCCAGTCTTCCGTGTAGTGGAAAACCAAGATGCTCAAAGCGACGTAAGAAAGCACGAGCGCCAACGCTACCAGATTAGAGCGCAAGTTCTCGTTACCCTTTCGTGCACTCTCAGCGCCAGCAATGATCGTTTGATGAGCCACGTTCGTGACTGTCCTGCTCGATGGCATGGGCATGTCGAATAATGACTACACAGCATATTAGCACAAACAAACAAAAAACGTCATGGAAACTTCTTTTACGTACTAGGCGAGGTGGTGGATTTACGACAGGAACATCGCTCGAGTCGCTAGGAGCATTCTCAGGCACAGACTCCTAAACAATATTGTATACATATCAACAGGTTAACACACTATCCACTTAATAGCTTTTTGGAATGCTCTACGAACCAAATTCGGGACCGAGAGCACTACGTCAGCACTCAAGACTTCATCTCGCTTGACGTTTGCGCTCTGCATGCGATAGTCACCTGTTAGCATAAGACTACGAAGACATTGTTCTTTTGCTCACCATCGACGCTGTGCTGGACTCCATTGGAGTCTTCCACTGGGACGTCGGTGGAAACGACCAAATGAGGTAGTGCAAACTCGTGCCTAGTGCGCTAAATTTAATGATCCAAAAGCGATCCGAATCAAAATTGCGGCTTCCTATTTGCTGGTAATTTGCGCATTTTGCTAGTCAAAATGCTTCTAAACTTCTACATCTAATGCATCAGCAATTCCACTGCTGATTGAGCTGCTGACCAGGTAGCTGGTTCCTTGACGCTGCAGCGGCGTCCGGGGATTAATGCCCTTCATGTTGTAGTATTGTAATAGCTGAGTAGGGATCTCTGCCAGTGTTTCCTTCGCTAGTCGCGCAGGGTTGCGACGGAACTGGTTGAAGGGGACAAACTGCACACTGTAAACGCAAAAAAAAAAAAAAAATCAGTTAGAGACTGTATCAACAAGAACGAACAATACCATCAACGTACATGTCACGTGCAGCCCTTTGTCGTCTGGAATCGATCAGCACTTTTCCATCAGCATCGAGAGCGTTCATCGCAGTAAAGTCAGCGTTTCCCACTGCAACAATCACAATAGACAGCGGCAGCGTCGACGCCTGCACCAGTTCGTCAATAGTTTCTTGCATATCCATGATCGCACCATCCGTAATGATAAGCAGCACGAAATACTTGAGATTTCCACCACCTCCTTGTTCCGCTGGAGCTGAGAACGTCCTTGCAATAGCAGCAGCCTGATGCACTAAAGGTGCGAACTTTGTGGGTCCATGAAGCTGCACGAACTGGAACGAGTCCGAGTACGCCTTCATAATGCCTCCAATGCCCTCCACTTCCGGCTGGGACGGGTCAAATGTCAACGGGAAACAATGATTCACTACTCCACTGACAAGGCCTCCAAAGCCGTACACTGGGAATCGCTTGTCCGAGTCGTAAGGCTCCAAAATCGCGCCAGTTGCGGAGATTGCAGCCTGGTAATCGTTCATCTGCCCTTGGTAGTTTCCTCCCATGTAATGCAGACTCGACGGATCAGACGGACTTCCATTCGAAGCTGTGTAGTCAATACCAACGATCAGACTGACCTCGCACCCACCACGTAGATATTCTGCGAAAGTATGTTGCTTGAACATCTCGATCTGCTCGAGGATCAACATGCCTGAATTCTTGTACCTTTTGCCCTTTTTCGCTTGTCGTTCACGGTTAATCAGATCCATACTGCGCAGTTCTCCAGTCACAAACTCTGCTGCTTTGATCGTACAACTGCCGATGAACTGGTGCTTGCCGTTTTTCTCCCAGTCCATACATTCGATCTTCAGCAGTTTAGACAAGTCTCCATTGCACAGATTCTGTACACTAATGGTAGCAGGACGCCATTTCGGGTCACAATTATTCATGACAACTTCGCTACGCCACACTAAAATCCACGACGACGACGACAGTGGATCGGAGTTTTCGTCTCGCAGCCGATAGATATTCAGGAACGGGTCTGAAGCGCCAAACCAGCCATCTTTGTTGTCCAGTTTGGTAGCAGTAAATCGGACTTTAACCATATCAGCACAGGAGGACACTTCTTCAGCGTCAATGACTACATGGCCCGAAAGATTGTGTACATGTCCCCTGCCATTGTCATTTTGCAGCAACTTAAGCACCGCCGACTGGCCCTTGGACGACATAAGCTGGCCCATTGTAATCTCCACACATCCTAGAAAATCGTGGTCAGCTAATCTCTCGGACGAACTATCACGATCGAAAACTTCGACACGTAGTCGCTGGACTTCTTCGAAGAAAAAATCCACCTGAAAAGACTTGGCAAACGTCGGATCGGGCGTGTTATTGATCGTCTCAGTGCGACCAACTTCTCTCCAGCCTTTCCTCTGTGCTTCCTGCATGTACACCACAATGAACGGGTCGGATTGACTCAGAAAATCGGATTTTTTCAGTCCTTTGCACCGGAATCGGAGCTCCACGACGCTGGACGGGGTTGGTGCCATGCCATTGGGCATTAATGCCATAGAACTCGTCGACGACGAGAAACTGCCGGGTTGCACCGGTCCGTACCCCCCATACAACGTGGGTTCACGTAGGAATGGAGCCGGTGGCTGCGTTGGAGCCGGAGGAGCCCCAAAGTTCTGGCTCGACTGTTGTGGAGGTCCATAATTCGGTTGCGAGGGATAATTCGGAGGTTGCTGGTTGTAATTCTGAGCGTAAGTCTGGTGAATGAACGAGTCTCGGTCGGGGGCTGACGGTGGAGCCTGATGCTGTCCGATGTCTGGGTATAGAGGCTGCTGAGGCGGAGCGTAGGCCTGGAAGGAGCCGCGACGGTCCTGAGGTGGCGCCTGTGGCTCCACCTGGTAGCTGTATGGGTGGCTATCGACGGGAGGAGCGGACGGTGACGAGAGCGAGCGCTCCCGTCCATAGTGTGGGGGATGATGTGAGTACATCGAGGAGAATTGAAGAATGAACTAATCTGGTCCGACTTATTGAATGGACGATTCCTATTGGCTAACGCGAAAATCTATCTCTGAGACAAAATATCCAACGGAGAAGGAATGAATGTGTAGGTAATTTATAAATTTTTTTCTTCTCAACCAGAAGAATACACTTTGATCACGTTGCGTCGCATTCTAGAAGTGAATGCGTTGGTGCAAAGCACTGAGAGCAAAAGTGTCGTTGAAGTGACGGCGCAGGAAATGGCAGCGCGCTCAGCCTTTAGTACCATTTGCTGGAAAAGATCGAACAAATTGTTGAGCGCCGAGCGAAACCAAGCTGCAGACGAACGTCAGATGATGCGGTAAGATTTTAATCTCTAAAAAAAATAGAACTCAACTCTCGTACCACAGTTTCCGTTGAAATTGCAGTCGGCAATCTTGCTGGCGCGTATTGAGTCGGTCACGAATTCGACGGGGGCTTTCAGTTGGAACTCAGCGTTTTCCATAGCCTGCGTTTTGATAACTAAATCAACTGTATCACTTAAAAAAGTTAATCTTTAGAAAAATGAATAGCCTGAACGATGTAGAACTTACCCAGTGGCTGATGGATTTTGCTGATATAACCGGAGACGGTTGCAATGTATGTTTCTAGATTCTGTTTCTGGTAGTATAGTTGCGCAACGAATAGCCACTGCGTTTGAATTTTCGTGTTTAGTTCCAGACCTTTGTCGCTGATTCCTCTCCAGCTTTCGTTGAAAACAGTATGGATTTCCAGAACATCGTTTGATGTCACGAGTTGGCCATCACTGTCAGGATCCATGAGTTTCTGTATCGTTGAGTTAAGGAGCTCCTGATGTATCGTTTTGTTGTATGGCGTGGCAACTTCAGAGTCGACCAAGGCAAGTTTTTTCAGCTCCTCGTAATGATCCGTTACAAATTCTTCATTCCATGCAAACAGCTCGATTAAAGATTCTTCTGGTCGAGCTGTGAGTATCTCCAATGCAAAAAGCTCTGGCATATCGTACAGTTCTGTGAAATTAAATCGATTAGGCTCGTCCGTTGCAGGTGTCGGATGTGGAGGAACGCGAAGGGTGTCACTAAACGCAAGGATTCCATCCATTCCTGTCGCCTCTACAAAGTTCTGATCAAAAAGAAGCCTATTCACATCCTCCGCTGACTGAATCGAAGGCAGAAATGCATACGTATTCTCCTCGAGACGTTGTAAAATCACGATTCCGTCTTGAATCATGAGACTCATTGTGTAAAGTACCCCGGTTAGAATTAATGAGATCAGGAACGCAATCTCGACGAAAAAGCATGTTGTGCGACCAATTTTACGCTTACCCGTCAGAATTCCATGTGCAAAAGCACTTGCACTGAGTAGAACTGATAAACCACAGAGGGTACAAAGCACATATAACCCAAACAGCGATACTTGTTGCATCTCTTGCGCAATGGTATCGTAAGCTACAGCAAATCTGCCGTTAACCACACGAAAGTCACTGCACATTAAATGCATTCGATCCAGAAAATTCTTAATCGACGGCGCTAGCGTGTTGCTTGTGAGGCTAAAGGTTTTGAGATCATTTTTTGCCGTCAGCATGTCGATCTGCACTTCAAATATTTGTTTTCGCCAAGAAAGTTTAGCCTCAGCTATTAAATCCACGATCGTTAAGCATGTTTTGCACTTGAAACAACCAGTTTTCCCGCCGATTGTCATTCGAGACGTGACACTTGGCTGGGTAATATTCATGTTGTCACAGTTTACCGAGTTATTATTGACTGTTGGATAAAGTACAGAATAACTGGTAAGAGGATCAAGTAGATGGAATATCGGCTTTCCTATGGCATCTCCTGCGTAGCTTTGGTTATCCAGGAATATATGAGGTTCTATATCGACTAAAGAATGCTCCTGGGTATCACGAAGGAAAAGAGAATCGTTGGTGGATTCCCGATATCCACTCGACAGGAGTTCATCCATTGGTGATAGGAAGTTCGTCTCGAATGTTGTTAAATTACTTGGAAGTGTTTCATTCAGTACGGTAAATACCGATTCAGCGAGAGGCTTGATGTCGTTGTATACCACGAAAAAAGTCATCAAAGCCGCCGCAGTACTTACGAAAATAAACAGCATCATGAAGGAGCCCCATATAATTTTCTGGCGTTTGCTGTAGATCTTGAACTTGGTATATCGTCGACAATTGCAATTAGAGAAACATACTTTCCACATCGCGTGGCCAATAAAAATAAGTGCAAAAAATGCTGATGCAAGCACGAAGAATACCGTAGTTGACCAGCCAAATTGACGATAGGAGCCCATTTCGAAGACTTCTAGGAATCCAGTCGAAATATTTGATGAAGCTGCACTCGTTATTGCTACGTCGTAGTCAAAAGAAAGAAAATATGAGCGCAGATCAGGCAACAAGTGATCTACCGACGACAGGTTCGTGATATTTGGATATACCTCGTCGTTGGCAATCGCTGCAACGTCATATACTACACAACGAACGTCAGGTCCGTTGAAATTAAATATTTACTTGCCAGGCTTACCGCTGTTTTGGCAGTGATCTCCAGTGAATCCCCATCGTTTAACACATTGACATTTTCCGGATGCGTCTTCATTGAGAGTACGACATGTGCCACGTTGTTCGCAGCACAAATAGTCATAGTCATTGTCGATCGGGTAACTCGCGCCTACACGTCGGCCACTTCTTACGCGTCGCTGACCGACTTGTTCATTCAGTACTGGATCATACGGGAACGTCATCAAACACGCTGGTTGCGGGTCTGTCTTGAGCTTGATGTCCCAGATAAACACGAGCGATCCAGTCGAAAATTTCCCATTGTAAGCGTCCTCGCGTTTAGAAGAGGAGCAGCCTCCGCAACAAGCGAAATTCGAGTCATAATGCGCCGGTGCAGCGCCTGTAATGGTCATCCTTAAAGAGCAACAAGCAAATTTACAAGATCAGTTTGAAGTAGCTAAATGTAGCCATGTCGAGTAGCATATTGGTAACGGTTTCTAAAATGAAAATCACAATACCAAAATTAAAAAAAAATCACAAAAACTTTATCTGAGATTGTAAAAGTTACAGCCATGCTGCTGGAGCTCGTGGGCGAGTGTAAACAAAACATTTGGGAGTTCCTGGGCATTCAAGAGCTCTGTCGAGTGGCGTGTGCGGCTCGTAATGCTGAACAGGGGGTTTGTTTAGGCCCAATATGGCTGAAACACGCCCGGACGCTGCTGACCAGAAGCCAACAAGCTCTGCGGGATGATACAGGAGTGCTCGGCTGTCGATTGCAACGCCATAATGCCAGTCGCAATCTCTTGGTACGAGAGGAGACGACAATACCTAAAATGGAAATTCTAGTGGGAATGTATGAAACAATCGACTGGAGACGTTGGTGTCGAGACACTCACGTGGTATGTAACATTCGCCTGGATGGCCGGTAACAATTCACTTACTGTTGCTGTATTTTTCAGACTTTAGTAAGATTTCGTACAAATAATACGGGCTTTGCACAAGCGATGAGTTCACTGCAAGAGCTGAAGACGGAGCGATCCCAACTGAAAGAAGCGATGCAGAGTGTGAAAGCCTCGTCCCATTCGGACAAACACACGCGACGACTTCAGATGAATTGTGTTAAGTGGATGAATAGAACGCACAGACGACAAGCTGCAGCCTCAAATTCTATTCAAGCGCAGAATGCAGCGCTGTCGAAAGCCGAGCTGACTGCGAGACTGCAGAAAGTAGAAAACTCGATTCAATCTACGGCGCAGGAACAATTTGGACTACGCAAACGAGCAACAAAGAGTTTGCACAAACTCAACACACAATTGGCGAAAGGAACGAAGGTATTACGTGACTTAGGAGCTCATACAGACGCTGAACGGATCGTCACTTAAATTATATATTGTTGTGTAAACTTTCATTGCAACAGTTCTTTTTTTCTCTTTTACAACAGCAATCACCACAGCTTCGTAGGTTCAGCCACGTGGTTTCGATACGCGCCTACGTTGCAAACCTTGACATTGGACAGTGCTTGACGAGCGTAGTCACTCGAATTCAACCCAGCGTTCTGCAAAAAAATTGATATAAAAAGTGACAAAAAAAAAAAAACTAATTCAATCCGGCGTTGACACATACACGGAGAGCAATGCCAAGTTTGAATCTTGCGTTCTTGAACAGCGTCTCGCAATCGTATCCGTGGCTCGGAAACAATCCCGTTTCCTATTACCACAAAATGTTACATATGCAGGGTATCAACAGCAGAATTAACCATCAATAACGTACAGTAACTGGAAGCCCCTCCTGAGCTGCCTCAACGTTAGCACGAAAGGCCACAGTCACCTGTCGTGTACGCTCTGGATCGGGCTGTATAAATATCAAGTGTGTTACATTAAAAATTCCGTCCCCATGATTTTTTAATTTATCGTACCGCAATATTCGCGATAATTTGCGCGTAAGGTGTTGTCTCCTTCAACTCGTTCAGTTTTACCAGTCGCTGCCCTTCTAGCTCAGCTTTATGGAGTTCTTCTTGCTTCATTTCCTCCATTTTGCGCTATAACAAATCAAAAACAAGACAATAACCTCACGTGAATATTCCCAAAAAAAAAAAGAAAACACCACAAGTAGAACGAACCTGAAACTCGTGATGTCTGTACTGCACTCTTTCAGCATTAACGACGCTTTGAAGAGCTCGTTCCTCCCCTCGTCGTTGCTCTTCTTCCATGGTGAGTTTTTCGTCCGCCATTTTTTGAAGTGTCTTTCCTTTCTTATACTCGTCCACCGCAATTTTCTGTTGATCGTGCTTGCGACGCCATTGAAGTTCTTCTTCTTTCTGTTTCTGGTTTTCTAGTAGTTGTTCAATTTCACGCTGCTGTTTCTCTATCCGTTCTTTGGCTTCTTTCGTCACGCGCCACTGGGAAATCTGTTCGTGCCGTTGATCACATTGTTGTTGCATATCATGCAACTGTTGCAACTTTCGTACTCGTTCTTGCTCTTGTTCCATAGCCGTACGAAATCTGGTAGTGGCACCATTCTGTAGCTCCTCCAGTTTTCGCTGAAATTCTCGTTGCCGATCTTTTCGTTTCTCTTGATAAAAGCGATAATGCTGATGAAATTTTACGTGTTTCTTTATCTCGATGAGAGGAACATTGGGCAGTACCAATGCAAGCTGATCGTACAATAGCTGAGGCTTCTTTCCAGCTCCGTGTTTGTTCTCGTAGCTGCGAAGAACCTTTAAAAATCTCTCCTCATTTGCCTCACTCCATCCGCCACCTTTGGACGATGCAGCTTCAATGCTACCTGCTGCATCACTGGCAGAGGCAGCGTTGATAAACCCTTCCTCGTACTCGGCAAGATCTTCCTGGAGGTGACTGAAAACCTTTCGCAATTCGTTGGAAATTTCAAGTTTAAGCATCTCGTCAGAGCAATTGTTCCCTCCTGAAGCTTCGAGCATTGCCGCAATTCTCTGTTCTTGATCCTGTTGTTTCTCAACATTAACGGCTGAGTTAGTGTTGTCCCGTAGTGTATGCAATAGCTTCTGATAGCAAGCATCGAAATCCTTTTCACACGACTGCACTTCTTCTTCCAGTGTTGCCTCAATCATTTGTCGCCCGATCACAGCATCATAGATCAGCTGACGCACGTTATCCTATATGCAGAAAACAATCAAGAATGAAAAAATCTTCGCAAGGCTGCAACAGCTAGATCATACCTGCATATCTTCCAATAAACTCTGGTTATCTTTCGCTGGATTCCTAATATCGTCATTGTGTTCTTGGGAAAAAGCCGACAGGAACTGCTTCAGAGCTGCTCTCTGGTAAATCGTAAATGTAAGCAACGCTTATTATACGCCCCCCAGTCTAAAAATTATCATGTACCTGCTCGCGTTCGGAGGAGATTTGTTTGATTAACGCAACACGATTGAGCTGCTCTGTTCGAATGAGCTCTTCCAATTCTGCAGCGTAAAATGTGCTGGTAGACGCAAGCGATATGGACAACGGGGCAGGATTACTATCGCTGTCATCATCGTCGTTCTGCTGATTATCACCATCAGAACGAGGTGTTGTAACGTTTTTTGTGCTTGTAGTGTGTTGCGTTCCCATTTTCTTCGATTCTCGTGCCGTAGACGCCTCATTATACATTCGCAACAGCAATGATTCGAGCTCCTTGGAATAATTCTATGATCACCACCATCATACATTGTCAGATACCAGCAGACTACGTGACAAATGCAACATGCATCTGCACCTCTTCTAACTTTTTCAGGCGGCTGTGCTCCTGAAGCCACTCGAACTGCGTAATATAGGTCGTTAATTACGCCTGATGATGCCGCATTATTGTCGCCCGCACCTTGAGATTGTTTGTTTTTGTTGTCTGCTTCTGGTTCTTGGACGTCTTTTTCATTTGACGAATAGTCTGCAGAGCACAAATGTGTTAGGCATATCCAGCTGAAGAGGCTGGCGATGAATTTACCTGAAGAACATCGTCACCTTGAGCTTGCAATTGTGAGGCCATTTGAAGCTGCTGATCTATTGTCAGTCCTGCTGTCGCACGAAATATCCTCTTTCGCGCAGCAGCTTGTGAACATTAATAATTTCAGTCCAGTCCACTACTACATTAAAGAGATTGCAACTCCACGCACGCATAGAGGGCGTCGACCTCGCTGTAGTCGCCATTCCTACTTTGCTCTTGTAATTTCCAAAGATGTCCGTCGCTGGATCGCTAAATATAAAAACCTGCTTAAGTATAAGACAAAAAAAAAGATCAATTTGCTTGTCTTTCTCGAGCTGGAACTGGGTACGCCCATTGAGACCAATGCGATTGCATTGATGTCTACAGTATATTTGTAAGCTCATATTAGGATACAGCGTTCTAAGCTCTGCTATATGATTTAATTATCGATTTTTTCTTCCTTTTATCAGTTCTTTCAGCTCGGTTACATGTACAGTCTAGAGCTTCCTCGTCTATTCGTTGTTTACTTCGGGGGCGTCATGTTTAGTTATCGGTGTTTTCGAATCATAGGTCTGACAAATTATATCAAATATGTTTTTGGTAACCAGGGTACCTGTTATTAGTTTAATGTTGTGTGCGCGGTACTAAACAATGCATTAAATTCCTTTTCATTTATCATTGTCTGGCTCATTGTACAATTGCTTCCATTTAAACCACTCAAACTAAGACACCCAAACAAGCAGGATGCGCGCAAGCCTCTTCGTGTTCCTGGTTGTACTCAGCTTCACTGTTTACTTCAGCGATCTCACTCACGCCGAACGTACTGACACTGGAATGGCCTTGAAATCGGATTCAAGTCGAGCTCTGCGAAACGATAAGACGCCAGTTTCCAGTGATGATCATCGCACTACTAACCACGAAACTGAAGAAAGGGCGTTAATAAATCTGGGCAGGTTGAAAAAATTATTCCAGCGCAACTCGAGGAATGTACCGACCTTACGAAAGAACCCCACGACCTTGAAGGAGTTGGAGCGCCTGGAGAGCAATCCTGCAATCCAGAAGGGAATCAAGAGTTTCAAAGAAAACCCTGAGATGATGAGAAGGGCCAAGACCCTAAGCAAAAACCCTAACTTCGTCAAGTCCTTGCTAAAAGCTGTGTCGTTTGGCAAAGACGACAAGTTAACTCCAAACCAGGGAGTGCTTCTTCTCCTGCTCTCCTTTTTTGGTGCTATTGGAGCCGTAACGGGTCTATATCTTCTCGTCAAATAGCATGGGATTGGAAACTCCGACAGCACTGGTAACCCATCGAGCATTTAGGCTCATAAAATATGTTCCCAAGTCAAGCAATTAATGCTTAAAGAAAAAGATTGACTGGAGAAATTTTTCTGGAATATTGTATATTCCATACCTAGAGTTGGAAACCATATAGACTTCGAAGTGCTGATGTTCACAAATCACAGCTTCTCGACCGAGCTTGGTACCGTCCTCTTAGAGACTGTTTGATTTGGAGGATGGTGTCAATTTGGAGTTACGTAGGCATCACAAAGCAACCCATTTGTTAATAATCTCCGTTTTATAGCTCACAAAATGGCGAAACTATGATTTAGATCTCGTAATTGTGGTTATTTTACACCACGATGGTAAACTCAGCTATCGGATACCGGACTCTAGTCGAATTACATTCAAAATTGCGAGAATTCTGAGAAATGATAATGTGACAACTTACAGTACGCATAGGAAGGAGCCGACCAAGAAAACAGAGAAAACAATTTTTCAATTCGACAATTCAAAGTAGCAACACAAGTAAAGCCTTACAAAGGAACCCTAAGGCCATGAAGCAGTTGAAACATCAGGAGATAATGTTGTCATTCAGAAAGGGGCAGCAGTGTCAAGACACCCATGGATCATGAAAAGAATCAAAAGTCTAACAAAGACCCCAATTTCTTGCAAGGATCTCCCTCCATGAATGCCGTCAGGGAGGTAAAGACCTACTGGGCACCTAAAAATGGTTGCATAAAACCTCTCTTTTACTTGACTTTTCAGTGTTATAGGAGGCGGAGTTGATAAATTGCAGCGTGAATTACGTAAGTTAGTCGGCATTTCTTCCGGACATTTGGCATTTTTTCAAGATATAGAAAATGACGTTCATGTAAAGTGGCTGACAGTTACTACCAAGAACAACTAAGCCCGCCGAAAAAGTGGATCAAATCGACTAGCGGGTACCCGTACGAGGACGCGCGAAACCTTCCTCCTTGGACTCGTCCATGTAGTCTTCCTGTTGCGTGCAGATGCGCAGAATCTCCTTCTTGCTCGACTCCTGCTGGTAGCCGCCGATGAAGAGCTCGTCCAGAATGTAATACGCCTGCAATAAATACAAATAAAACCCATTAAGCTCTCCACATAGTCATCAAAAACTTCTTGCAGCCTGTACCTTGTGGAAGTTGAAGATAATATCCAGCTCACACACCTACAATAAAAAAAAACTATCAGTCTCCATAAATCCTCGCACAACAACAAAACCCATTCTTACGTTGCCGAAGTAGCGGTCGAGCACCTCCACAAACAGGTGAATGGCTTCGAGCGTGATGAGCTCGTTCTCGTCCTTGGAGATGCACGCAATGAAGTACAAACTCGCGTATCTGGGAACACAACAGCATTTAAATCTTCAGCTTCTGCTCCACCTCACTGTAGTCAGCTTACGCACCTCTTGTAGACAATCTTCTTCTCCTTAAACTCGATAAAGTTGCACTGTTTGTGAGGGCGAGAGAGCACCAGCGACGTGATGTCGCGGATCATGCGCGTCTTCTCCTTGATCGACGCGTTCAGGTACCATTTAGCCAGGCGCGTCTTGCCCTGACGACTCACGAGCAGAATAGACTCAATCTGCACATATAACACGCAGTTAGAGGGGCCTCATTGAGCCGCAAGAAGGTGCTGCCTTCACGCACCATGGCGTCTGCTACTGTTCACTATCACAATAGGGAGCCACGTCGTCAGGTCGGTTTCGGTGGCAGCAGAAATACTCAGTGTCTAAGAGAGTGCAGATAGTGGCATTTATTTTATAGCCGTGATTGGCTGAAAATCTCGACAATTTATTCTCGTGTCGCCTGCCAATCAGAAGCGAATCTGCCATGAGAGCGTTGTTCCCCTCCGCGCATCAGGTGAGCTACGTCAGTGTCCTCTGCTCGACTGCAACTAACTCGCAGCGTCCTCCTCTGTCCAGCTCCGCCGCATCATGACCGACACATCCGGGCCCGTATCGCGTCGTATCCACGAGAAGCTTCTGGCTGCTTTCACCCCCACGCACCTGGACGTGATCAACGAGAGCCACATGCACAATGTCCCCAAGGGTTCCGAGACGCACTTCAAGGTGGTTGTAGTCACCGACCAGTTCGATGGCAAGCCGCTTATTCAGCGCCACCGCATGGTCAACGCTGTGTTGCAGCAAGAACTGGACGATGGTGTGCACGCACTGAGTATTCTCAGCAAGACGCCCAAGCAATGGGAGGCCAATGCGCAGGTTAAGCCCTCACCCAATTGCCGCGGCGGCATGAACGCTGACGAGAGCAAGAAGGAATTTCTAGAGAATCTCAAGCGACAGCACCAGAGTGAGTAGATTGCTTAAAAGCATTTTATTGCAATCTATCCAGAATCCAGACCCATTTTATCTAAGCCTTAGGATGTTTTATCTTTCGTTCCTCAGCGTGATCGGCGTAGCTGGTTCTGCAGCATATTGAGCATTACGGACAACAAACCTCCCACCACGACGCCTAAGATTTCCTCCTTATGTTCATCCATTACGGACAGCATACGTTGCATGGGCGGAGGCAATTTCCTCCACACTCTCGAGCTGGAGATGATGCTACGCGAGACGCGGTGACCGATTTCATCGGGAACAGAGACATCCTGTGACGCGATATAATGGTAGTGCATACTTGCGACCGCTCCCATTAAGCCTGCTTCGATGTCAACTTCTTCCTTTGGACGAGTGATGGAGCGTTCGTCCTTGTCCGTAATCAGAAGCACCTCGTCGAAACGAGAGTGAAGCTCGTTTGCGATAACCAAGTGCATCGCGTACTTGGAGATCGCCTGCTTGGCCTTCTTGCGGAGAATATCCCAGTCTGTCTCCAGCTTAAATGACACCACGAAAGACTGCGGCGCCCAGTTGTGACGCAATACGCCTAGCATCTTGGGTACTTGTTGAAGCGTCAGTTCCAGCGGACCCGCTCGCGATTGGATCTTGTGTACTGCCAAGTCCTGCTGCGGAATGTAGAAGTCGCTTACCGCAGCTGCTAGAAGGAACAATGCCCGTTCCTTCCAGGGCGCTACGCAGGTTGCCACCATACGCAGGAGGAAGAAATAGTCGTCCACTGACGTAAATGGCAGAGTAAGCAACGTATTGGCCGAGCGGACGTTGCGTAGCTTATTAACAGCGTCCACCACGTTCTTCTTTGCTGTCGGGTCTTCTATCATCAACCGGATCTGCTGCTCGTGCACGTTAACATTGCGCGCGTCAACATGCTGCATGAAGTCCACGTCCAGTGACGAGCACGTAGCTCTCTGTAGGTGCCTGGCGAAGGGGGCCACGGATCCAGGACGATGCACGTAGATGACAGCATATCCTAGTTCCAGCAGATATTCGACGGATGCGGCACCTCTTGATCCCGTGGAGAAGTTGTCCAGGAAGCGCACAGTGTTGCGCTCGAGCGGGACAGTCGTGCCTCCGGACGTTACGACCGCTACGCACTTACCCACGACACGGTGGTGGTCCAGAAAGGCCTCCACTTGCTCGCGTCGCTCATCGGTCCACTTGGGCGCTGTGGTTTTGAGAAAATACTCCTCCGTGCGCCGCTGGTCCTCGTTCGACGCCATCAACACCGTTGATTCAACTGTTAGCAGTAGTGTTGGATTAGATAATTACCGGTAATTACCGTTTTTACCAAGGAAATGACCTACCAACGGTAATTACCGGATTTACCAATCGGTAAGTGTTTACTCGACATCGAATTTATCGACTAGAGAAAGCTCATTTTGACAGTTCACGAAGCCGAAGTATGGGGGGAAAGCGGCACGACATGTGGGCTCACTTCCGCGTCGTTAACCCAGTGGTGCGAGGTGAGAAGCAGCACCCTGACGTGGAGTGCAAGTACTCCGGCACAATTATTAGGAATGCCCAAAGAAAGAAGAATCTCGCTGGGCACCTTCGGAACCAGAAGAAGTGCAAGGCTCCCGTAGAAGTTGTCAGGATCTTTGGTATTTGATCCCCAGCCAATCCACGGACGCGACGACAGCTGTTCACAGGTGGTGATGGAGCCTCTACATACGTGTCGGCTTCAGATAACCACGTTTCCCAAGCTGAACTCGAGTTAGACTTGGCTGAAATGTGCTACGCGACTGGAATACCATTAAGAATCGTGGAGGACCCTGTCATGAAGCGTTTTTTTTTCCAGGAAAGCTTGTCCATCTTTAAGCTACCGTCGCGGAATCTCATTGGAGGACCTCTCCAAGAGGCAACCTACAAAAAACGCAAAGAGAACATCGTTAAGCAGCTCAAACAGCAGCAGTACTTGGCTTTGTTCACCAAGGGTTGGTCCGACACAAACAACTCCAGTATCGTAAATTTCGTGTTGGTCTCTCCAACTATGAAGCCTGTATTCTGGTCATCAATTGCCATTGGTGAAGACGAGCACTCGGGAAAATATATTGCCGAATGCATTGATCGTGTTATCGACGAAGTGAAAGTGGCAATCGGTTCCAAGGGTATTTGCGCTGTCGTCACAAATAACGCGAAAAAACATGAAGTCGGCATGGGAGCAAGTGAAGGCGAAGAGGCCCTATGTCTACTGCAACGGTTGTGCAGCACATGGCTTCAATTTGCTAATGAAAGCCGTCATGAAGATTAGTCGCCTGCTGATGTACGAGATGACATCAAAAGTGTGGCGAAGTTTGTTCGTGCGAGACATGGATTGTTGGACCGCTTTCGATCGCAGCAAAAGCTATCGTTAAAAAGAGTGATAAGAGGATGGCACTGAGCGTCCCCATTCCAACACGATGGTGCACAGTCGAGAAGTTCATCCGCAGTGTTTCTATAAACCAGTCTATCATTCGCTTCACCTTTGCTGACACTCAACCGCTCAATCGCTACAACACCAAGGTGCAGAGGCCCGAACTGGAACGTGTTTTAGCAATCATAAGTGATCAAGAACGCTGGAATGAGTCGGATCGGGCACTTGGCCTTTTGTCACCAATCAACAAAAACCTAGCTGTCTGTGAAAGTGATGATCCCTTTTTGTCATCTGTGTATTCGGAGTTCGTCGCACTAAAAGAGCATCCATCCTACGTCGAGCCCATGAGTGGAGTCAGTGCAGAAGAACGAGGTACATACGCCGATATTCAGCGTGAAATTTTCGATTTGGTTGAAATCCGGCGCGAATTTATCATGTCGAGCTCAATGCGAGTCGCGTATCTTCTCGACCAAACGACAGACATCACAAAATTTGGTGCAGCGAATGAAGCGAAAGAAGACAGCGACCTTGCGCTAGCCATGCGGGAGCTTGTGGATATGGCTACAGGTACTGCGACGGATCCCGATATTATTAAGAAGTATCAGGCTGCAGTTGAGGCATGGACTTGCCAGCGATTTACCTGGGCTGAGAGGAAAGTCGCTCTGTCTGCTATCCCGATGTCGCCTTCGAGTTTCTGGAAGATTCATGGCCGCGCTGCGTTTCCACTGCTGAAGCCAGTTGCTGATATGATGTTTGCAATTCCAACTTCGTCAGCGTCCAGTGAACGCAGTTGGAGCATTTACGACTTTATTCATTCAAAGAGAAGGAACCGTTTGCATGCCTTGAGGGTGGAGAAGCTTGTATTTGTCTACTCTAACATCATTTCTACAACAGGTGAGCCAATTCGAGACCATTTAGCTGATGACATGTACCCGGATGCACATTATGGAGACATGGATGAGCAGAATGATAATGAAAATGAAGAAATGGGCGATGGAGAAGAAAACGATGAGATCATGCAAGATATGTCCGGTGTCGAATGATCAATCGAATGATGATAAATTGAGTTTGTGCTTTTCATTTTCTAACATCTCGATCCTCCATGATCTACCTCAATATAGGTGTGGTAGCCTCTGTGGTTCCGCTATCAAGGCACTTTCCAAGTTGCCGGTAATGCCACTGGTACACCACGTAGGTATCCGCACACAGCGTCATCTCATTCACTCTCGAACCGATATTACAATTGTACGCCTCGAATGCGTTCCACAGCCATGTCGTATTTGGTAAACTGTTCGCCGAGTTTAAAGCGACTTCTAACCGACAGCAGTGCTGACTCAGCACCCGGTCCTTCATCATGGTAATTAACCAGCGGTAATTACCGCTATTTACCCGATTACCTATTTCCCCGGTAGTTACCTGAGTAAATTCCAACACTAGTTAGCGGTGTGGTCTACCTCAGTAACCTATCATTATGCATGAGATGCAGTTAGACAGTCAGGTTGAACATGTTGAACGATTCAACACGTTACGAAATTTGCATGTTTTCAGATCTGATTTTCAAATCTGAATTGTGGGTTTTATTTTTGGTTTTATGGCACTACAGGTTTCTGGTACTTTTGACTGATGATCAACCTACACACACTCGTTTTTGAGCCTGTGGATCGGGATGTTTTTACGCTACGACGACCGGAGACTTGACCTCGACGTATGCAGGTGATTTGGCACTAGTGCGCGAGTGGAAAAGCTCTTCAATGTCCTCGAGAAGAAGACCCTTAGTCTCCGGGCAGAAAAAGTATACGAACACACCACAGCACACACTGAGTCCAGCGAACAGGAAGAAGACGCCGTTGATGTTCAGGTGTGGGAACAGCTTGACAATTTCCGTCATGAGCGCACCGCCGACCCAATTGGCAGCCGTTGATAGGGACACAGCCGTCGCTCGCACGTTCATGGGGAAGATCTCGGAGCAGTAAATCCAGGGCACTGCACCCCACGACACGGCGTAGCTGAAGACAAAGAATGCACTTCCAATGCAGATAAACCAGCCTCCAACCTGGGGACAACCGGAGTCGTCGACGTTACCGTCGCAGATCGCCGTGAACAGAACGGCAGCGAATAAGTGACCTAAGAACATGCCGCAGGCTCCAATGAGAGCCATTTGTCGACGACCAAACTTGTCCAACATGAACAAACCGGGCATAGTACTTAGGCAATTAACGCCACTCAGCAGTAGTGATGCGTAGATTCCGGCACCCGTGATGTCCTTGAAGATAAGCGAACCGTAGGTCATAATTGGGTTGATACCTGTCGCTTGTTGTCCAAGCTGGAACACCATGGCGATAATAACACGCTTACGGATCGACGGCTCCCAGAGCTCCTTAAGTCCCAGTCCTTCCGCCTCTTCTTGGGCAATTTGATCTCCGATAGCTTCGAGCTCGTGACGAACGTTGTCAGTTTGACGCAGACGTTTTAGAACCGCCTCGGCTTTCTCCTTGCCCTTCTGTTGGTACGTCCATCGAGGGCTCTCAGGCACGCAGAAGATGCCGCACATGACGATCACCGGAGGAATCATGGCCACGGCGTTACTGATACGCCAGCCGTGCTTGTTGTCCTCCACCAGGATGTTGATCAGGTTAGCGAGCCACTGGCCGAAAGTGACCGGGAACACCATCAAACCGGACAGACGTCCTCGAAGCTCCTTTGGTGCCATCTCGGATCCGAACAGCGGGAGCGAGAACGATGAGTTACCGACACCGAAGCCCTGCACGACACGCGCAATGTACATGAGTGTGTGGTCCTGCGCGGGGTTCAGACACACCCAGGTCGTTCCGATACAGAACAGAATACCGGCGGAGAAGATCGTTGCTCGACGACCGAACCTGTCGGCGACGTAGCCGCCGATCAGAGCGCCAACCAGACAACCGAGGTTGTATACCATATTGTACCACACGGTGAAGGTCGTCCATTGCCCAGGAAGGTCGGAGGTGGAACGTGTACACTCTTCATAAGTGAAATTGTGCCACCCGACACAGTAGTCGTTTAGAAACGAGTCCATGATCAATACGCCGGAGGTCACACCTTGGTCATAGCCGAAGAAAAACCCTCCGAGCGACGCAAAAGCGCAGACGATGATGGCATAGGTGCGACTGCCTTCGGTTGGCTCAGTGTCCATCGAGTGGCGATTACTGGTAATGGGTATTGCCACCATGGTGAGGTGAGGGTGATGCGGGCGAAATGGAGACCGGAGTGTTTTGCTTCGACGCAAAAAGAGGAATGAGTCGAAGTGTGAGTTTTTTTCGGGCCCAGGCCGGTTAGGAGACGATCGAGACGAGAAGGAAGTTTACATTTTAGAATGGATTCACAAAGATGACGATGCGGTTGAACATTGCTAGTCTGGATTTGACAAATCCATACTGTGACCCATCACGTGTCGGGCTACCACTTCAAAGCATCGCTGTGCGTGGACCGTCGGGAAATGCCTTGAAGGTTGAAATGGTCGCCAAAATCTGAAGTCTGAAGATAGTGAGATAGCTGCTTCAGAAGCGCGTGAGACGGACGCTCAGATGGGCTGGAACTCAACTTGTTTTGCATTTGAAGTGTACATATAGGTGCGAGTTAGACGCTGCTACGGTGTTGCTTGGGCCCATGGTTCGGGCACTGCGTTCAAGCAGCGAAGCATGATGTATAGCGAGGCGGTTTAACATATCAACAAATCATCAAGGAAAACTCGATGGTGGTTGAAGTTCGTGCGGGCCATGGCAGTTCTTGCGGCAAGGCCCTTGCCAAGACCACTGATCCTGTGGGACGCAAGGCAGTCAGGTGTATCATACATGTAGCTCACCAAAGCTGCCACCAACTACGGCAGTAAACAAGAGTGAGACGCAAGGTATTTATGGGAGAACGAGGTATCCTATCTGTCCAACGAAAATGGTTCTTTCACAGGAGTTATTATTTCT